TGTGACACCCCAAATGCAAAAATGACAGCAAGGTGGTGTGCATCAGCCATGGCCACACAGAGGAAGGTGAACTCTTTTGTGATGCAAGGCCCATCCTGACTGCAAAAGCTCTTCCTTACAATTAAGAGATGCCACATGCCTTAGGCCTTACTGGTAACATTTCTTTAGTGTACACGAAGTCTCATGTTTTTTAATTGCTGGAAAAAATACCAATGCAAATGAGGTTCCACTGATTACTTCGGCTTTCAAATTGGCTAACGGGACACAGTAGGCTAATTGGAGCTACAGAACACTTCCCAGCAACCATGCTGGAGCCAGTTGCCAGGAGATCCCAATGAGCAGCTGCTATCAACTCATTTGCTATTTCCATTGTTAAATCCTGATTGGAAATTTCACAAATCGGAACTAGTTCCCTTGCCAACCTCAAAAGCACCTGAACTGCCCCCTGCCAATTGCAAGCCCAAAGGCAATTAGAGGCTCACAGAGAGCTTATACTATGTATATAAGTGGAATTCAGAAGGTTTAGAAACATGCAGAGATAAGGGCTGCATTATAGGCTATTAATTTCACAGCACTCTTTCCTATTGAAAGATCTTTTGATGTGTCCATCCAAGACAAAAATGTGGCTTCAAGGAGGATGTAAGTTTTTATGGGAATCCAAGCTCCTTTACAAGGTAGTATGGTGTCTCAGGGTTTGGTCTCAACTCCTTTCTGCAGACTCTTCTCTACTCCTGGTCCATATACATTCCAGTGAAAGGGAACTGTGAACATACCTATGCCAGGCTTCCCTGCCACAATGTATGATGTTACTTTCCTTACCTTCCTAGTGAGCTCTTACACATTCTATAAAGCCCAACTTTAAAGATTTTAGGGATTTTTCCCTTTGCTGAAAATTCACCAGTGGGTTGTCATTTCTTTCAGGTAAAATACCCAAATCTTCTCTATGGCCCAAAAGACTGCATGATGAAGTTCCTGCCTGTAGCTCAAGCCCCATCTTCTACTACTTGTCTTATGACTATATTCCAGCTTCGTTGGCCTTCTTTCTGACCACCAATGGACCTGTAAGAGTGGGCTGTATGTGTGTGGGCAGGGTCTTGGTCTTGGGGAAGAGGAGAAAAGTCAGTGCATGCACAGAGCCCCAGGAAAGCCAGGATCACAGAAGCTTGAGCATGCCAAGGTCTTGCAGACTGTCTACAATGTTGGAGTTAGGTGAGAAAATCAGGGGAGGCCCTGGAGGAGGGGACAAGCAGATGTTCCTTTGTACAATCATTCAAGAAAAACATTGCAAGCTCACTTGATGTGCCCAGTATCTAGTCCTTCTAGGAACTCTGTGAGATAGGTATCACTCTTATTTTATAGATAAAAAAAAATGGAAGTTCAGGGAGGTTAAGGATCCTGCTGGGTCCACACAGCTAGTAAGTGGCAAGGCTGGGATTTGATTCCAACTAAATTTTTTTTTTTTTACTCCAAAGTCTAAACTCATTTTCATTGTTCCTTGGTGAGTCACTTAAGGTCGTATATGGTAAGAGATTAGTAAGGGGAATGCAGAATTTCTGTGCTTTTTTTTTTTTTTTTTACAGGGTTATCAAATGTCTTGGAAGATAAAGGGTTTATAGCATTTGTATTAATGACATCAGCTCCTGCCTTTTCCCAAACATAATTACATCAGCAAAATGGTCAACTAACAATGGACAGCAGTGAGCCCTGTGAAAAGAACGTAGGCATTGGAGGCTTGGGGTTGGGCATACGCAACTGAGTGACTTTGGGTAAACTACTTCACCTCTCAGAGCCTCTCTTTCCTTATCTACAAATTGTGACTAATAACACTTTCTCACAGGACTGTAAACACCCCCATGTGTGTAAAGGGCCTTCTTGCAATACTGGCTCTTTACGTTTCCAACAGGTCATGACATAAGGCACTTCTGCTCACATGTGGTTGGCCAAAGCAAGTCACATTACCACACTTAACTCCAAGGAAGAGCAGTTCTGGCATATATCTGGAAAGAGGACCAAAAATACTTGGAAAACACTCTATTCATCATTATTTATACCACATTCTTTTAAAATAAGTGTATACTTGGGTTTCATGTTTGAAACCATTTTTGTGGAATGACTTTCAAGTAAATTGTAATCAGACATAATAGTAGAGCTGCTATTTATGGAGTGACAATGCCCTCTAAAGATGTGGCCTAGGAGGTTACTGGGGAAGGGAATAACTCCCAGAGAATGGAGTCAAGGGCCACAAAGGATATTTACAACCTCCTTACATCCAGGACATCCAGATGTCCTTGCAACATCTCCCAAAGGGATTTCAGAATTGTTGTGGATCAAAGACTGCCTTATTTCTTTAATTCTACCTTTTTACTAGTGGAAAAGTTTTGTTTTATTGTTACATATTTTGGTTTTTATGTCTCCTTCCACTGTTGTACAGTGTATGTGTGTACACATGTGTGCATGCATCTTTGTGTGTTGGGGGAAAGGGCATGTGGTTGTGGTGGTGGCAGGTAACTTGCCCTATCAGTGGATAGGGCTCCAGATCAAGGTCTGCTGTACAGCCTCCTGTGCACCTCACCCTGATGAGGAGATCACCAGGAATCACTCTGAGAGCTTGGACATTGAGCCTGGAGCCAGCAACAAGCAGGACTTTGGGTTTGTCTCACTTGGGCAAGGGTGGGCATATTTTTCATGCGGCAAGGAGAATAAACAAATATCTTTTGACCAGGTGGGCAGACTGAGGTGTTCATCAATGTTGTTAATAAAATATATTCAGTTTTTCTTTTGGATATATTGTAGATTTCACTTTCCTCCCTGTTGGAGTTAGGCATGGCCATATGACTTGCTTTGGCCAATAAATTGCAAATAAAAATGATTGGTATGTCTTGTAGGTGGAAGCTTTAAGAGCTTGTGCACAATTTGCCATGTTTTCTTCTTCCTCTTACTAAGAACCCAGCAATGTGGCTGCTTTGTCTGCTTGGGTCTCAGACTGAGGATAAAGCAGGAAAGAGCCCCCATTGATTTGCAGTAAATATGAAGGGAGAATTATTTTAGCAACTGAGAGCTGGGGCTGCTTGTCATTGCAGCACAACTTACCCTATTCTAACTGATTCAAAGACATCATCTTAATTCTTTATAAAATCACTTTTTATTTTGTGGGACTGTTTCCCCACTCTGGAAAGTAGGCATGTAACTCAGCAGAAGTTGTTGTATCTGGCCCTGCAGAGATGGGGGCAGGTTTCCAGGCTCCAGATGTGGTCTCTGAGGTCCTCTAGGTAAGAATCATGGTAAGGTTTATGGTGGGGACATGATTAGGGCCCTCTTTTCTTATGGGCATTATCCAGGCTATGTTCCATAATATCCACAGGGTGGTTGTGGTGTCCAGTTGGGGCACTGAGCCACACCAGAGGGCCATCACTCTAGCACAGCTGTGTTCAGTGTTATTGATTCCTATGTAACTCTTGAATCAGTGCCTTGCTATACTAAATAGTCTCATAGAATGTTGCCAGGTGACATAGTCACCCTTTTCTGATATCCTGGGGAAGTCTGAAACTGAAGGAACTCTCATCACCAAGTTCTATTGAAACGTTTAATTAACATTTTACTATCATGTGACACATGTCAGACATCAAGTAGGTGGCTTCAGCCCTTCTCTTGCCTCTTTCATGCTTTATCTCCTTCCTGGGTTTTGAATCTCTAGTGCTCTGAGGCTACAACACGCACTTCTTTCCATCTTCTTTTGCATGGAGCTACTCAGAACTCACTCTTTGTCCAACCCAGAGGGGCTGATGTCTCTACTAGGGCAATCTTGAGTCAGTTGGTTTTCTGAAGGCACATTCTTACGCTATAGCTCATGTCTCCCCTCAGCTCCCCATGGTGAATGAATGGCCAAAGTCACAAATCTTGATGATTTTCACAGAATCCATCAATGCAAGGTTGTGTCATATCTCAAAGTAATAATTTGCTTATTTGGGGAGCATTTTCCTTCCCCTCTGCACTCTCACTGGTACTTCGAAGCACTTCTGGCCCTAAGGGGGCTGAAACAAAGACTCCAGCACACCTGAATGAGAGACAGAAAGCTTAGAGAGATGGGTTTCCTGCTTCCAAAGAGATTAGCCTGGGTTTGGAGATTAGGAGAGAGGCAGCAGCACAGGAAGTAAGGAGGGAATCAGAGACCTTTGAGTGGGAAGGCAACAAAGGGTTTCTGTTCTTAGAGACCAGGGAAGGGGCCAAAGGCTCAGCTGCCCTTGAGAGTGGCGTTCTGTAGCCTCATGACCTGTGGACTACCTGCCTTTCATAGCCTTGGGAACTTACAAGTTTCCTGAAGAGAGGGCTGGGGGCTTTAACAACTTGTGTGGGGATAAAGGGAGATCCTTGGTTGCTGACCAATCTAGCACTCATCAGACTCAACTGGCAATTTTTTTTTTTTTTTTTTTTTTGATACTGGGTCATACTCTGTTGCCCAGCCTGGAGTGTAGTAGCATGATCATAGCTTACTGCAGTCTTGAACTCCTGGGCTCAAGCAATCCTCCTGCTTCAGCCTTCAAAATAGCTATGACTGTTCATGTCTTTTGCCCACTTTTTAATGGAGGTGTTTGTTTTTTTCTTGCTGATGTGTTTGAGTTATTTGTAGATTCAGGATATCAGCCCTTTATCAGATGTATGGTTTGTGAATATTTTCTCCCATTCTGGAGGCTGTCTATTTGCTCTGTTGATTATTTCCTTAGATGTACAGAAGATTTTTAATTTAATAAAGTCCCATTTATTTATTTTTATTGTTATGGTAATTGGATTGTGGTCTTAGTCATAAATTCTTTGCAGAGGCTGATATCTAGAAAAGTTTCTCCTACATTTTCTTCTAGAATTTTTATAGTTTCATGCCTTACATTTAAGTCTATTATCCATCTTGAATTAATTTTTGTGAGTGGTGAGAGTCAGGAGTTCTGTTTCATTCTTCTGCATGTGACTATCCAATTTTCCCAGCACCATTTATTGAATAGGGCTTCTTTTTTTTTTTTTATGATAGTTAATTTTATTTGTTCAAGGGCTCAGATTGCAAGCATTAAATCAAGCATGGGCTTTGATTCTTTGAGCCCAAATTCACTTATTTAGGAAGACAAAAGCAAACTATGATCCGTGTACATGGATAAAAACTAAAGGCTCAGGGTTAATCACATTGCAGTTTTTGAATTTCTACAGCCTAGAGCTCAGTAGTTACAGGTCTTTCAGGTCCTTCTGGATGTCCCACAGGGTATCTGCATTTTTCTTGAGCTGAGCAACCTCATCATCCTTTAGCTTCTGGTTGATAACACTGGTTAATCCCTGAGCATTGAGGATACACGGGAGGCTCAGGAAGACTTCGTTCTCAATGCCATACATCCCCTTCACCATTGTTGATACTGGATGAATCCTGGATAGATTTTTCAGCATGGATTCAATAAGATCAGCTACACTTAATCCAATGGCCCAATTGGTATATCCTTTTAGCTTGATAACTTCATAGGCACTCTCAACCACCATCTTATGCACTTCTTTCCAATTTTCACTATCATTGTCTGTTCCCATTTCTGGATTCAATTCCTGGAGAGAAACACCTGCCACATTCACTCCACTCCACACAGCCACACTTGAGTCTCCGTGTTCTCCCAAAATCCATCCATGGCAGCTGCTGGGATGAATGCCAAGTTTTTCGGCCATGAGATAGCGAAATCTAGCAGAATCCAGATTACACCCACTTCCAATCACACGGTGCTTGGGCAATCCGCTTAGTTTCCAGGTAACATACGTAAGAATGTCCACTGGGTTGGAAACCACAATTATGATGCAATCAGGACTATACTTGACGATCTGAGGAATAATGAACTTGAAGACATTAACATTTCTCTGCACCAGATTGAGATGACTCTCCCCCTCTTGGACGCCTGCAGTTACCACCACAATCTTAGAATTGGCGGTCACAGAGTAATCTTTATCTGCCACAATTTTAGACGTCTGAAGAAATAAGCTCCCATGCTGCAGATCCATCATTTCCCCTTTAAGCTTATCTTCCAAAACATCCACAAGAGCAAGTTCATCAGCCAGAGACTTTCCCAGAATGCTGATAGCACACGCCATACCAACTTGTCCAACACCCACTACAGTGATCTTATTGTTTGGGACGGCTGCTTCTTCTTCTGCAACCGGTGCAATGAGTTTTTCCTTAAGAGTTGCCATTGTGCACAGGAGGGAGAAAGCTCTGGAGCCCGCTGTAATAGTTGTGTGAAGACAATGTCAGCTCTGAATAGGGCTTCTTTCCTAAGTGTATATTGTTGTCTGCTTTGTCAAAGATCAGTTGGTTTTACATAGATGGTTTTATATCTGGGTTTTCTGCTTTGTTCCATTGGTCTACATCTCTATTTTTGTGCCAATACCATGCTGTTTTGGTTACAATAGCCTTATGTTATAGTTTGAAGTCTGGTAATGTGATGCCTCCAGATTTGTTCTTTTTGTTTAAGATTGCTTTGGCTATTCAGGCTCTTTCCTGGTTCCAAACAAAGCATGGAATTATTTTTTGTAGATCTGTGAAATATGACATTGGTATTTTGATGGGGATTGGACTGAATCTGTAAATCACTTAGGGTAGTATGGACATTTTAACAATGTTGATTCTACCAGTCCATGAGCATAGAACAATGGCTGACAAATATATGAAAAAATCCTCAACATCACTAATTATCAGGGAAATGCAAATTAAAACCACAATGAGATATCACCTTAGTATTGTAAGAATGGCTTTTATTAAAAAGTGCAAAAACAATAGATACCGTCATGGATTCAGAGAGAAAGGAATGCTTATACACTGTTGGTGGAACTGCAAATTAGCATAACCTCTATGGAAAACACTATGGAGATTTCTCAAAGAACTAAAAATAGACCTACCATTCAATCTAGCAAGCCCACTACTGGGTTTCTACCCAAAGAAAAAGAAGTCATTTTATTAAAAAGACACCTGCACTCGAATGTTTATTGCAGCACAATTCACAATTGCAAAGATGTGGAATCAACCCAAGTGCCCATCAATTCATGAGTAGATTAGCAAAATGTGGCTTATGTATACTCAACCATAATAAAGGATGAATTAATGCCTTTTGCAGTGATTTGGAAGGAATTGGAGACCATTATCCTAAGCGAAGTATTTAAAGAATGGCAAAACAAACACCGCATGTACTTTGATAAACTGGAACAAACTGGTGGGTACACATGTGCACAGAGGGAAGTAAAAGTCGCTGGAAATCAAGCGGCTGGGGGAAGGGGATGGGCAAAAACCTACCTAACAGGTACAATGAACACTGTTTGGGTGATGGGCACATTTATAGTCCTGACTCAAGCCATGTAACAAAAACATATTTACCCTCTTAATATTTTGAAATTTTGTTAAAAAGGTAAAAGGAAAACAATAATAACAAATGGCTGGGACTATAGGCAGGCATCACCACACCTGGCTAATTTTTAAAATTTTGTAGAGACAGGGTCTTACTATGTTGCCCGGGCTGGACTTGAACTCCCAGCCTCAAGCAATTCTCCTTCCTCAGTCTTCCAAAGTGCTGGGATCACAGGCATGAGCCATTGCTCCCTGTCTCTAACTGGCAATTTTGATACAAGCTTCTACATTCAACTTTTTCTCTGTATCGCCCCAGTTTGGTTCTGGGTAAGATTTCAGAATAATAAAAGACATTAGCAATTCAGAGGTAGCCATGAAACTCATGTTGATCTAAAATCAAAATCTGTTCTCAAGCCAAGTGCTTATTATTACACAGGGTTAGTGTGTGGATTACTACTTATAAATCCTGTCTTATTAGTAAAAGATAGTAAATTTTTCTGGCTAATTCTCCACCACTTGCTTTTCCTTCCTCTCTATCAGTATCTCTCATCGACTGTTCACAAACAGGTTAGAGAGAAGGGTTCCAGTTAGGATTACCTTGCCAACAAGCGCCGACTGTAAGCTGCATGGCTATGTGAGATGGATGAATAGGCCAATCGTTGGTCACCAGGTATGGTTCATATGTTGCTCCATCCATGTATAAGGTAACCACAGGGAACTCCACATTGATGACATAGTAATGCCACTCTTTGTCACAAATCTAATAAAAAGGAAGAAGCAATACTTAAAATATGTAATGCAACATCAAACAGGCTTTTATTCTAATTATGAAAAGGGGAGAAGATATTTTTCAGTTAACAATTTTTATTGCAAAGAACTCAAGGAACATAATGGTTGACATACACTGAGGTTATAGAAGTTCATTGTCAAACATAGAGTGGCCAACCATGGGGAAGAGGAACACCCAGGAATCCAATCACCGGACAGACATTGACTACGGGCAAATTATTCAGCCCTACCTTTGTGCACCTGGGAAGACAGAGAAGAACTACAATGGGTCCTATTATTCTGGACTCAGTGCAGAGCACTTTCATACACATGTCCTCTCACAACCTTTTGCATCCAAGACTCCTGGTCTCAGGGCTGGAAACCAAAACCTAACGTTAATGGATTTATAGAGATGTTGGGGGGCTAGGGTGGAGTCACAATTCCTTACCTCAAGGAACTGAACTCACATGGAAAGATTCGAAATAAAAACCAAGACTGGCATGTCTTGGGAAGAAGACAGGAAGCAGGAAAGGTGGCAAGACTGGAGAAGGGTCCCGCCCTCCCTCTGATCCCTATGCAAGTGCCCTGGGAGTCAGTGAACTCTCTCCTTCACACCCCGTCTCCTTCCAATCCCTCTGCACCCTGTGGAGTCCACCTCTGAAAGGCCTCTCATCTGCATCCTCTTGTCTCCATCGACCCTGCCATCTGTGGCAGGGCAGACAGATGAGTTCTGCATGAAGGTGACCCCAAGGTGAGGGCATCAAAGCCCTCCCTACATCTCACTCTGGATTAAATGTGCTGTTTCTCATGAATAGATAACACCAACAGGGATGCTAAATGATCTTTCTCCTTTCATTTTGAAATAAGAATTTTTTCCTTAATGTTCTTTTTATATTGTCCTGTCTCATGTCTCAGAAAATTGCTCCTTTTGAAGCCCATTAGCCCGATAAAGCCTGATGAATATTTTAGGGGACTTTGGAAGGTAAGCAGGAGGGGTCCAGGCAGATCTTTCCAAAGTCCCATTACTCTCAGTGAGAGGCTCCGATCTAGTTTACACTCCCCTCCTGCTTGATGCCTGGACCAGACCCTGGGCTAGGTGCAGGGCTCTGGGGCTAGGCCTGTGACTGGGGTCAGGTGACCCCAGGGCGCAGGGGTAGTACAAAGGCAGACCTAAAGACAGAGTCCAGGGCTGATGGAGGAGAGGGGAACTATTTGAATGAAGCAGCCAATCCAAGGAGGCCAAAGCAGCCTGAACTTGGGGTTTGTGATCACGGATAGCCAGGCAGCAGAGGTAAAATGGAATGTGGTTCACATCCTGGGGATATTCCCAGAGGCATCTGGAAACTCTGGCCAGGCCCAGGGTGGGGAGGAAGTGGTGGCAGTGTGGGGACACTGACCACTCCCCACTGCCTGTGGAACACAGGCAGAGCACCGAGAGTCAACCAGGCAGTGCTCCGGGGCTCCCCCATCCTGGCCTCCACCACCACCCTCACAGCGCCCGTCCTCCCTGCATGACTGGCATGTTGAATCCTCAGGCTTCAGCTGACTCTACATCACTCCATGTCTGCTGAGGCTGGATGGAGAATAATCGTCTGGCTTTCTTTCATAACACTTAGCATTCTTGTAGGACCATCCAAAAAAATTCTAAGGAGTAAAATAATTCCATAACTCAACAGCAGCAGTAACCCTTCTCTACATGACAATTTTTTCCTAGGTGATTTCCCCAACTCTTCCGTAGTGTGCCCCATTGAGCAGCAGCGCTGTGATGCCCTGCGTAAAAACAGTGATCCTGTGCGCTGAGCTGAGCCTCATTTTTTTGTGGGGGATTTCCCACTTTCATTAGCATATCCAAGGCTCCCAGCAGCCTCAAATTGTAATAATGTTTCAACCTTACTGAAAAATGGAACTTTTCTATTTGTAGCATTCCTATAAACATCCTTGAAACAGCAGCTGGGGAAGATCTATTTGGATCACACTGTGTAACAATTTGAAAGTGTGCATGCTTCACTTAATAGCAGCATTTAAAAAATGTTTTCACAAATTTCATTTTCAATGGCTGTATAATACGGTTATACTATCATATACTTAAATATTTCCAGATATTAATTATGTACTAGCTATTATAAATGATGTTGTAATGAATTTATTGTGCATAAATAATTGTTTGCATATCTGATTATAACATTAGGAAAGATTTCCGGAAACAGAACTACCTGGTCAAAGGTTTGGGGGTATTTTTAAGGCTTTGGATACATAGCATACATTTTCTTTTCCTGAAAAAGTTTGTACCTATTTATAATCCTACCCTCAGAGAGCGAGGGTACTCATGCATTGTACCCTTGCTACGCTGAGTACTAAAAGATAAAAGTAAAATCCTGATAATTTGAAAGGAGATACATATTTTGTCACATTTTAATATGGCTTACACAAGACAGCAAGATTTGTCTTCTGCAAGATCAAAAGGGAGGGCATTCTGGGACTGGGGAATAGCCTGAGCCAAGAGTCAGAGGTAGGAATGGTTGGCAGCCGCCCCATTGAGCTGCTAACTGGGCATCTGAACAATCTTTTAGCTCATATTAGGCATATGCCTGCAGACTTCTCCCACGAAGTAATCTATGACAGCAGCTAAAGGAAATACCTAATTAGTGTTTCATAAATGTGGATCTGTGATCAGGAAGAGACCCACATTGACCCTCTGCTAGAACTGCAGGGACAAACTGTAATTGAAAAATGATCAAGCCAGGAGGAAGCAAAAATAAATGTGTCGATGCATAGTTCAACCAAGAAAGAAGGAAATTAGGCAAAGTGACCTTTCCTGGGGGAAGAGAAAAACTTTAACTCCTGACTGTTCGTGAATCACTGGTAAAACCTACTGGCCTCAAGCCTGTCTGATGCCATGGCTGAGAGAATGGCCAAGGCTTCACCTAGACCAGACACTTCCATCTCTGCCCACCTGCAAGTGTGTTCCCAAGGGGAAGAGCTGTAGCTGCTGCTTAGCTGATGAGTGAATCAGAGACCAGAAACCCAGGGACAGGTGATCAGGAAGGGTAGCAGGGACCCACCAAAGGAGATCTGAGTTAGAGGTAGACTGGCGTTCCAGGGAGACTCAGGGGGCAAGAAAGCCTCCCACAAGATGCGGAGGAGAAAATCAGGTGAGAGGTTCTCCGTGTAGCTGCTCACAGGATGATCCAAACATGCATATAAATTTCGTATTGGAAGTGTTTTTAGTAAATGTCCTCACCCAAGGAATGGAGAGATTCTTTCCAGCTTGGAGAAGGTGGAATTTAGGGTGGATGATTGAAGGACTGTTAATATTTCATTAGGAATAGATGATGAGTAATAAATTTCAAGCAAATGAAGCAGAAATCCCTTATTCCTTTATTTATTCATCTGTCTTTTCTATTGTCAAAGGTACTAGGTTTGGGGCATATGGAGATTCACGCATTCACTCCTGCATGGTTTACCAAATGCACATTCTACTTTGTGAACAAAAAAGAGCACCTGACTTTATGAAGCTTATAGTCTAGTCATGGATTGACAAAAAGGCTTATGACTGATTGGGATTCATGCCCAGCACAGATTTGTGCAAGGTGCCATGTCGACTGCATGGAGGAAGACGGGGTGTCTGATGTGCTGGCAGGATGGGAAGGGGCAAAGACACTGAGTTTGGAGGGGCCAAGCTGCGTTTGGGAAAGGGGAGGAGTGTGAGATCAGGCTGCAAGAGCAGATTTTGAACTGAGGACTGAGGCCTTGGATTGCTTTTATTCTGTAGGCAACAGGAGGTCTGGAGGTTTCAGGGTGGGAGGAGGGGATGGTAGTCATAACAACAATCTTGGAACGTGCTTTTCCACTTTGAAGCAGCTTTTCATAGTCCTCCTTATACTATTTAATCCTTGCTGCAAGCCTATGAAATAGGAGGGCCAATTCTATCCTAGGCACTATTGGAAAATAAAGAGAAAGAAATGACACGATTTCTTATCTCAAGGAACTCATGATCTTCTTGGGAGTTAGAGGCAACTAACACACACACCACTGTGGGCTTCCACACTTGGCCCCTGGTGTTTTCATTACACACACAACTCGGAGCTGAGCTGCACATATAGCCACATCAGGATCTTGAGCAGAGCCTTTTCCTCTGAGTGGTGGACTTGCACATTGGATTGTCTCCAAATGGCCCCACTCAGATTTCTACAGGCACTTCAAACTCGTTCTGTCTGAATTGAGCTCAACACCTCCCATGCTACAGCGTGACCTGCTCCCTCCCCTGTGATCCTTGTCTCAGTAAACACTCCTTCGTGCCATCTGTCATCCCGGCCAGAATACCGGGCTTTGGACTCTTTCCCTCCCTCCGGACACTTTACTGCCAGTTTCTGATGATGCTTATCCACTCTCTGCTCTGTACCCTCACTCCTCCTCAGCACTTACAGTGTATGCCAGAGAGGGGAAAGAGATGGATGGAAGGGAGACTGACTGAGAAAGTGTGTCCGAGACAGGCTTTTGCAAGGTGGAAAGGATGTGAGCAGGGGGAGAGGAATCTTTGTAGCAGGGGAGGGGGAGACAGCATTGGTGTGAGTGTGGCTGAATGGAGTGAGCAGCCTGCTAGTGACCAGCTGCCCTGGGGCTTGAGGTAGCCACAGAATGAGTGGGTTAGGGCAGCAAAAGGAGGGTGCAGGAGGGAGTTGGTGCAGGCCGAGTCTGTGGGTACTGGGTTGGGTATCATGCTGCTTCATGGATTTCTGGGGTATCATGTTCTGGACTTTGGGAAAACAACTGAAACTTTCTAATTCTTGGCCACCTCATCTGTGAAGTGGGGATAATAGTATCTATTCATGGCTTGCTGGACGAATTGAGCTAAGGCATACACAATGTTTAGCACATATATTCAGCCTGATCAGATAGGGGACCACTTTCCTTTTCCAAATATGTTGAAATGCTGGATACAATACAACAACAATAATAACAACAGACAAAAACAAAAATTAAAAAGCTAGA